TCTCCTTGGGCGAAAAGGTTCTACCTGGGTTAAGCTACGAAAAACAACCTGGGCGAAGAGTACTTCTACCCGGAACTATGAGCTGGATCCCCCTAGGCGAAAAGGTTCTACCTGGGTTAAGCTACGAAAAACAACCTGGGCGAAGAGTACTTCTACCCGGAACTATGAGCTGGATCCCCCTAGGCGAAAAGGTTCTACCTGGGTTAAGCTACGAAAAACAACCTGGGCGAAGTGTACTTCTACTCAGAACTTTGAGCTGGATCCCCCTAGGCGAAAAGGTTCTACCTGGGTTAAGCTACGTTAAACCAACCTAGGCGAAGGGTACTTCTACCCAGAAATATGAGTTGGATCCCCCAGGCGAAAAGTTCTAGGGAGAGTGGTATGGAGTTTATGAGTGAGGGACAAGCATGGGGGACTAGGAGTGGGGGACAAGGGAAAGTGGAGTATAAAGAGTGTGGGGACAAAGAGTGGGGAGCAAAGGAAAGTGGAGTGGGGACACGCGTGGGAAGATGGGAGCGGAAAAGATGGAGTGAGAAGTGAGGTATTAGTGGGATGAGTGGGAAAAAATTCAAGCATGGTAAAAAATTAGGTACTCACACTACTCGATAAAATGGTTCAAAACTCAGGATGGATGACAAAAGACTCTGCGATTACTCCTGTAGTTCACTCTGTGGCTTTGGACCCAAACAACTCTATAGCCAAAAATATGGCCACTCTAATGACGCAAATGAGTATCCTCACCAAAACGATCGATGAATCAGGCCAGAAGCAGCAGGTACACTGTTGACGCAACTCATGGGGGCTTATGTACACTATGCATTAACCAATCTTATGTATGCTCGTGGAGTGCGGAAGGTGACAACCAGCACTATCAGGAAGATAAGAACTATGTAGCCAACTCTTGGGGACAGAGGCAAGGTGGTCAGAATTGGGGTCAACAGAATCAATGATATAGACTAGCACAACAGCAGTACAATAACAGCAACAATCCTAGAGCTATGCGACTACAGGGTCAAGTGGGGCCTTACCAAAGGCAACAGGGTTACAACCAGCAAAATCAGCAGCTGGCTTATCAACAACCGCAACAACAATAGATTATGAGATAAGATGATTAGTTCGCTGAACTTAAGGGAATGCTGGGCAGCAATAACAGAATGTTGCAACAATTGATTGGGTCCACCGGAAAAATGCAAGAGAGAGTGGACTCACATGAATCAACGATAAAGGGGATTGAGATTCAATTAGGACAAATTTCTATAGCTCTAAACAATCGTCCCCAAGGGACGTTACCTGCTGATACACAAGTCAATCCAAAAGATCAGGGCTTGAAACAGCTTATGGCAGTGAGTCTACGAAATGGTAGAGACCTAGATCTGGAGCAAGAGATTGCTCGCGAAAGCCGACCTATTGAAACACTTGTGCCAGTACCTATTGAGATAGATGATTCAAAAGGGTTAACTGAGGTGACGGTACAACATGCATAAGAGAGCACAAGCAAAGTAAAAGAGGTTGCGAAGGAGACTGAGGTAGCATAAGAAACGATAGTAGAAGCAGTGCCTCAGCAAGATAAAACTCAAATCACAGGAAAGAAGTGACCTCCAGCACTATTCCCGCAGAGATTGGCAAAATATCAGAAGGACGAGCAATATAAGAAATTCATGGAGATGTTGAAACAAATACAGGTGAACATTCCACTGATTGATGTGTTGCGAGAGATGCCTTGGTATGCCAAAATGATGAAAGATTTAATGTCTCGCAAATTCGACTTCCAAGACTTATCCACTGTTACATTGACACATACCTGTAGTTCAGTCATGACGAGACCCATAGCTGAGAAGTTGTCAGACCCAGGGAGTTTCACAATCCCATGCATGATAGGTAGCTATGCTTTTGCTAAAGCATTGTGTGATTTAGGGGCAAGCATAAACTTGATGCCCTTGGCTATCTACAAAAGGTTAGGCATTGGAAGAGCTAGACCCACGTCCATGTTACTACAGCTAGCCGATAGGATAGTGAAGAGGCCCTCTGGTATCCTTGATGATGTATTAGTACAGGTTGGGTAATTTGTGTTCCCAGCAGATTTTGTCATTCTAGACTGTCGGGTTGACGAGGAGATTCCCATAATTTGGGGAAGACCATTCTTGGCCACTGGGAGAGCTTTAATTGACTGTGAAACTGGAGAGCTCAAAATGAGACTAAATGATGAAGAGATAACATTCAACGTGCAGAAATCTATGCGGCGACCAAGTGAATTTGCTAACTGCTCTCTAATAGAAGTCATGGATGTAATTTTAGAGGAGGAAGATGAGACCTTGAAAGCTAAAGACCCTCTAGAAGCATGTCTCTTGAACTTAGATGAAGTAAATGGAGAGGATTTGGCGGAGTGGGTGCTGGCTCTTGAAGGCCAAGGGTTTTGGAAAAGAGAGCTCGAATTTGAGCTTTTGCACTTAGAAGAAAGACAAATTCCTCCAGCTAAGCCATCGATAGAAGAGCCACCAAAGTTTGAATTGAAACCGCTACCACTTCACCTCAGGTATGCTTTCTTGGGACCTAACTCAACTTTACATGTTATTATCTCACCTGGTTTGTTAGATGTGCAGAAAGAATAACTTTTGCAAGTATTGAGTGAGTGCAAAACTGCAATTGGTTGGACCATTGCAGACATTAAGGGGATCAGCCCGGCCTTCTGTATGCATAAGATTATACCAGAAGATGGCCACAAACCTTCTGGAGAACATCAAAGAAGGCTGAACCCCAACATGAAGGAAGTTGTGAAAAAGGAGGTGATAAAGTGGTTAGATACGTGGATCATTTTCCCCATCTCCGACACCAACTGGATCAACCCAGTCCAATGTGTGCCTAAGAAAGGTGGGATGACTGTAGTGCAAAACGAGAACAATGAGTTAATATCAACAAGAACAGTCACGGGATGGCGAATTTGTATGGACTACAGAAGATTGAACAAGGCCACCGGAAAAGACCACTTTCCCTTGTCGTTCATTGATCAAATGCTAGATAGATTCGTCGGGAAGTCCCACTTTTTTCTTTCTGGATGGATACTCGGGGTATAATCAAATCTCCATTGCCCCATAAGATAGAGAGAAAACATCATTCACCTGCCCATATGGTGTCTACGCCTTCCGGAGGATGCCGTTCGGCCTATGCAATGCACCTGCCACATTTCAAAGGTGCACGATGGCTATCTTCACTGATATGGTAGAGGACATCATGGAGGTCTTTATGGATGATTTCTCGGTGGTGGGAGACTCATTCGATGATTGCCTAAGGAATTTGAAAAGAGTGCTGAAAAGATGTGTCGAGACTAATCTGGTACTCAATTGGGAAAAGTACCATTTCATGGTACAGGAAGGTATAGTCTTGGGGAACCTAGTGTCGAGTAAGGGCATTGAGGTAGATCGTGCAAAGGTTGATGTGATCGAAAATCTTCCACCACCCACTTCCATCAAAGAAATAAGAAGTTTCCTTGGCCCCGCTGAGTTCTATAGACACTTTATAAAAGAATTTTTGCAAAATTGCTAACCCCTTGTGTAAATTGCTTGAAAAAGATCACCCTTTTGTGTTTTCTGATGACTGTAGGGTAGCTTTTGAGGAATTGAAGAAGAGGCTGGTGACATCACCTATTATAGTTGCACCTGACTGGGAGCAACCATTTGAGCTGATGTATGATGCAAGCGACTATGCTATAGGAGTAGTACTTGGACAGCGCAAAGACAAAGTCATGCATCCAATATATTGCGCAAGTAGAACTTTGAGTGGTGCCCAACTAAATTACATAATAACCGAGAAGGAGATACTAGCAGTGGTGTTCGCATTTGACAAATTCAGGTCATACCTGATAGGCTCGAAGGTAATTGTTTATATTGACCATGCTGCTCTCAGGTACCTAATTGATAAGAAGGAGTCAAAGCCACGCCTGATTCGATGGGTGCTACTGCTGCAAGAATATGACTTGGAAATCCGTGACCGAAAGGGAACGGAGAACCAAGTGGCTGATCACTTGTCTAGGCTGGAAGGAGCCGAAAAGAAGGTTGAGGGGGAAGAGATTGTGGAGACTTTCGCGGCTAAACAACTACTAGCCACTGCCTCAATGCCCATAAATCTCTATGATCCAACTCCACTAGTAAGTGAAACGCCTTCCCAAATACCAATTTATACGACGACATGCCAATCAGAGTTTTGAAAGCGGTACGATAGGCCCAGAGTGCATCATCTAATTTTCTCGCCCAATCCGTTCTTGTAGCATTCACAGTCTTTGTCAAAATGCTCTTTATCTCTCTGTTCAAGACTTTCACTTGCCCACTCGTTTGTGGATGATATGGGGTGGCAACCTTGTGGCGTACATCATACTTTTCTAACAACTTTGCGAAGGCTCGATTACAGAAGTGAGTGCCTCCGTCACTGATTATTGCCCTTGGAGTGCCAAATCGGGTGAATATATTATTTCTCAAAAATCCAATTACCCCCTTTGCATCATTTGTAGGGAGCGTTGCAGCCTCCACCTATTTTGATATGTAGTCCATAGCTACGAGTATGTACTTGTTGCCGTATGAGCTGACGAAAGGCCCCATGAAATCGATTCCCCATACATCAAACACTTCTACCTCCTGAATTGGGTTCATAGGCATCTCATGTCGGCGGGAAACATTCCCAGTTCATTGGCATTCATCACAACCCTTCACCCATAAGTGTGCATCTTTGAACAATGTCGGTCAGTAGAAGCCCGACTCAAGCACTTTCGCAGATGTCCTTACTCCCCCGAAATAGCCACCATATGGTGACGCGTGACAAGCCTGCAAAATAGAAGATTGGTCTATCTCGGGGATACATCTCTGGATCATGTTATCAACACAAATCCTGAACAGATAAGGCTCATCCCAATAATACATGCGACAGTCACGAAAGAACTTTTTCCTTTTGAACAGAGGAAAGGTCATAGGGAATAATACCGCTTGCTAGGTAGTTTGCAATGTCTGCATACCATGGCGCTACCTCAAGTAAATCTCGATATAGAAGTTGCGGGTACAAGTAGAGTCACAGAGTTGCACGAACTTGATGAGTTTTGCTACCACGCTTTTGAGAGCATAATACTATATAAGGAGAGAATGAAGATGATGCATGATAAAAATATTCTTGAGTGGAGTTTTAAACCCGTAGATATGGTAATGCTATACAATTCGAGATTGAGGTTATTTCCAGGTAAATTAAAGTCAATATGGTCAGGACCATTTTGTGTGGTAGAGATTTACCCCACTGGTGCCGTAGAGATTGCTGTGGAAAATGATTCTCACACGTTTAGAGTCAATGGGCACAGGTTAAAACATTATTTGGGTATGGATGATGCGAAAGTAGTGTCGGTGACTCATTTGCTCGAGCCACCAAGGTTGAGCAAGCCTTAAGTACGATTACCTGCATCGTGCCGCGACGTTAAATTAGGCGCTTCATGGGAGGCAACCCATTATAATGTTGTATTCGTCGTTCTGCGACGTTAACTAAGGTGCTCGTTGGGAGGCAACCCAATTCGTAGTTGATTTCTTTTAGTGTAGCTAGAATTTTTCTTTTGGTTGTAGATACTAACAAGTTTGTAGGTGATTCTAGGCAAGTTGAGTAGAGTTTTCAGCGTCACATGAAGGAAACCAGACGGTGGAGCGCGCCTCATGAGGGTGGAGGCGAGGTATAGCTGGAGAAGGAGCTTGCCTCGCCTGGGGTAAGGCTAGGTATACCAGACGCTAAGACTCGCGTCGCATGGGTTGAGGCCAGGTACTTCACGCGTTAAGACGCGCGCCGCAAGCTCCCAGGCTCGCGTTAGAGATGGCGATGCGAGGGATTATGCGAGATCCTTCAGTAGGCGTCGCCAGGAACGAATATGCCTCCGAGAAAATACACCGGCAAAGGAAAGTCTACTTCCACTGCTCCGGCTAAAGCAAAGGAGACCTCCGCACCTCCCCCAAAGAAGAGAAAAAGGGGAGAAGCTACCTCCAGTCGAATTGAAGGAGCACAAGTTGTGGCAGCTGTAGCATCCATGCGTCCACAACCCCAAGGCCAATGGGAGTTTGGTATCAAAAGCATACCCCCGCATACTAAGGATTAGTACAGGCGATATAAGCCTAAACATGTACATCCGGAAGCCGCTATCCATGAGCACTGACTGCAAGCAAAGTACCAGGCTATTTAGAGGGACATATATGATTTGGGGTTGAGCTATGTCTTTAAGAACACAGGGGATATTAATCTTAATCTAGTGAGGGAATTCTATACAGGGTTTGATCCACAGGATACCGAACAGCTGGTGCCGATTCGTGGACGGTTGATAAACTTTTTAGCCACAACCATATGTAACTTTTTAGGTGCTCCGGATGTTCCTATGGAGACATTGGACTACTTCATTCACCGTCCTACGTATAGAGAGCTGAGACACACGTTATGTGGTGTCAATTCTACGACAGCGTGGATCCGTGATAAGAAAACAAATCGGCACAAGAAGTTCCCCAAAAAGAAAATGAGGGCGGAGGCTCAAGTTTGGTTGAAACTGATTAATGCATGGCTCCTACCATGCAATCATGATACGCTCATTAGCTGACAGAGGACTTGTGTGCTCTACTTCCTTATGACGGGTCAAAGAGTGAATGTGGGTCATCTGATCCGCTACCAAATGTCTTTGATAAGAACGAGTAAGAAGGTCGATCGAATGCCATTTGCCAATTTTTTGACTCAATTCTTAAGACACGAGGAGGTTGAGGAGGAGCCAGAGTTTGACCACATCATTGATCAGCCCATACGACAGACAGACATCACTAGTGTCCGGGTGAGAGAAGAGACTGCCATGCTATCGTTGACAGGTGCCAAGCGCAATGCTCGTGATGATAGATTTATGGCCCATTTCTATGGGATGATAGATTTGCAACTGAGGATAGGGGGTCGGCCGGCCACGACTGAGGATAGGACCTTAAGCGGTTCCCGCTCAACACTCATGCTCAGCAGCTGGTTGGGCGAGGTGATGGATACAGACTTCCAGATGATGAGGACATTAACACACCTGAGCAGTCCGAGGTTGAGCCAGACCAGTCAGACGATGAGGACGATGATGAGGAGGAGGATGACGCAAAGGAGGAAGAATGGGCAGCCTCAGAGGATGAGGGCGACGATGCAGCATGACCAGGGAGTTTTTCCTTACATCCTACTCATTTTTTTGTTTTTTCATTTTGTGCATACACTGGGGACAATGCATGATCTAAGTGTGGGGTGGAGACTTATAAATATTAGTTTTGCTTTGTTGTTTTAGTTATTAGTTTAGTTAATTGTTTAGTTATTTGTTTAGTTAATTATTTTAGTATTTGTTTTTAGTTATTTGTTGTTAGTTAAAAAAAGATTTTCTTGTAGGTAGTGTAGTAATTCCCCCTTGATTTTTCTTTGGGTCGCGGTTCTTTTCCAAGGGATTTTAGTTGAACCAGGTGTAGTTAGTTTTAATTTTTAGGAGTAGGAACCACGGGGCTATGCATTTAATTACAGCAATATCTCTTAGCTTTGTTATGCCTTGAAAATAGTTAGTACTATGGTTGTGATGCTTAGACTCGGTTTTTTACTCTAGTATAAGTACCTTAAATCATAGATTCTTAATTTTGCTTAACTGCTTGGACTGAAGTGTCGCGATGAAACCAATCCTGAGTGAGTTATGTACCATGTCTGTATAAGGTTTGTATGTATTCTGTGCATTACATTTGATGTCTAGAACTTGCCCCGTGTGTGTGCAAAGTAAAATAGTAGTCTTGTTCAGTCTGAGAAGTGATATAGGCATTTCTTTATTAAGCCAGATATATATAGTGTACCCACCTAAATGTTAGGTATCGTAGTTAACCCCGTTGAGCCTATAATCCTGTTTCTTTGGTAATTACATTACAAGTCGTACCCCTTTGTTTGAATCGACCATATATTTGAACCTTGTCACTTCTCATGAGCACTTGAATTGTGATGAATTATGAAAAGTTAAAGTGTGGGGTGATGGATTGGCTTTTGAATGGAACGATTGAAATAAGGAGAAATGTGTACTGTTTGAAAGAAAAACAAAATGTCAATAAAAGCCACTTGGATTAAGAGAAAAGAAAAAAAATAGATGCATTGTATGAAAAATAATTCTTGATGGTGGTGGCTAGTGATATACTGGTGCTTAAAGAATTAGGGGATAATATAAAGTGAAGTTAAGGTGGAGTTTTGGTTTGACATAAGTATGTGCTTGAATGTTAAAGTGTATGTATTAAAGTGCTTAAGGGAGGTGTAGTCACTTATATCCAAATGTATCTTACCCGACCTGCAGCCTATATTACAACCAATCAAAGTCCTACTTGATCTTAGATTGAATGAGCTCGATTAGTAGAGTATTACACTACGGGCAAGCCTATTGTGCATCATTTGTAACATATGAATGTCATTTCTGAGAGCGAGTGAATTTTTCCTATCTTGAGTTCCTACGTTCTTAAAATTCATTGTGTGTGGAACTGAGCTCTTTGTTGGATGAGGGCACGTGATTCATAAAGGAAAGGTAATGTTGTTGACCTCCATGTTAGAGTAAGTAAGTGAATTGTGAATAAGTCATGGTATTTGTGAGTCAAATCTTGAGGCGAGGATGTTATACCTAGGTGCTTAGGCTATTTTAAACATTCTTGGTGTAATGAGTTAAGGGAATTGCTTAAAGAGGTTGTGTCTATAAGTGCAGTTTGATTGCGCGAGGACGCATAATGTTGAAGTGTGGGGTATTGATGTGTGGCTATAATTCCATAGTTTCATACATTATTTGCCTTGCATAATGATAAACTACACTTTATTTATGCGTAATGGAGTCTATTTTATGTGTAGGTAAATTGGAGATGAAAGTAGAGCAAAAAAGAATACTTAAAGTCTAAAGCATGCTTAAAAACAACAGTTGAAAAGAAGAAGGAAAGAAGTGAGCAGCTGACAAATAAAAAGTTGGCGAAGCCAGGCCTAGAGCAGGCGTTAGAGCAAGCTGGGCGAGCTCTTTAGCTCGCATGGGAACTGGTGAAGCGAGGCTTGGGGCGAGGTCCACCAGGCTGTGAAGTTGGCGAGGCGAGGCAAAAGGCGAGCTCAAGCAGGCGTTATACCTCGCGACGCTAGGCCTGGGGCAAGCTTAAGCAGGCGTTATGCCTCGCGAGGCCAGGTCTGAGTGTGCACATTCAGAGCTTTGAAGACTTATTTCGTCTCCTGGTTTTACTAGGACTTGACCTACGTATTTAGGTCTTTTCCTACACATATAAATAGACATAAAAATGCCACTTTGGAGGACTTTTGCAATCGGAGGCAAGGAGAGATCGTGGAACAACCGTTGGGAGTTAGACTCATCGATTTCTACACCCCTTTATCCTTATTTTGTAATTTAATTATGTAAAATACTTTGAATATTGTGACTATGAGTATGCCTAATATAGGGTTTGATGGAACCTATTGGAGGATGATTTTCCTGTTACATTAATATAGATTTGTCATAGTATTTTCTCTATTTGTTCAACTATATTATTATTGTTGTTGATTGAAGGGCCCTCAATCGACTGTGCCTATTTAGTGTGTATTACTCGGGAGAGAGAGTGCATATTTAGGTAGTTGTTAAACAATATCACTCCTAACGTATATAGGGGATCAATACGAAGGGTTTAAAGGTGGGATTAGTGATAACGAAACCTTGATGCGATCCGAGTGAGCCGTACTTAATGCCAGCTAGCGTAATTTGGGAGAATATGTCTATTAAATTATGGTAATTACTCGGGAGAGAGTTAAGACAATCAGAGTGCTCATGATCGATAGAGAAGACTTAGACGAATTTATAAAAAACGTAGCGGAAAAGATTCCGACAATAGGGAAAATCACAACCTTAGCCCATTCCAATTCTTGTTTACAAATCGTAGTAGTTAGTTATTAATTATTGCACTTTCATTACGTAATATTTAGTTAGTAAACATCCAAATTGTTACTTAAATATTTCTAAAGATTGATTGTGTGAGTTCGTGCAAGTCTAGTAGTTGTGTTTGATAGGTTAATTCCATGTGGGATTTGACTCCGGACTTATTAGCCGGAATATATTTGCAACGACCGCTTAGTCCTTTTTACAAGGCATAGCTGGGCGTGATCAGAGATTTAGTGCATATAATATCATTATATAAAGAGATACATATTTTAAACAAGGAAAGATTTAATAATCAAAATTTTAGCTAATTTTAAAGTCTATAAAATTAGGAAATAACTAAATTACTATTTAAAGAATATTTTTAAGGGTTTGAAAAACAACTAAATTTTCCTAATGAAGGAATTTGAAAATTAAATTAATTCTCTAAGATTTAAGCTTTCCTAGTGTGAATCGAACGCCATTGAATTCCTAAAATGGAAGGAAATTCAA